GCCTGGCTTGTTAATGAGCTTTTCCCCAGCCTTTGCCAACTCTGAAATTCTAGAATTACATAATATTTATGAAGTTTTTATGAAGAGTCCTTTGGTATGGAACAGTGTAGTAGGCCTCTGGTTGTGCACATGGCTCACCGGAATCTCCTTTAGGAATGCTGTGTGAGCTCGGGCTCCTGGTGCAGGCCCCGTGCCCACACCTCCAGCTCAGTTCTCACTGACTGCTCAAAGGGAGAAGAAACGGCATGATTTATATTTTCAACCCGTGAAATCTGAAGAGAAAATACTGCATTAATTCTGTGCCCTGTAAATCTTTTCTCGCATTAGCAGCCTTCTATTAAAATGTGCCAAGGAAGAATTGCCATGTGTGCCGATGGAGCTGAACTAAAAAGAGAAGATTAGAACAGAAACCGCACTAATAAATTTCATCTGAGGCCGCTGGAAAATGGACTGCTGTTTTGACAAGTTAGAAACAACACACACACATCCCGTTTCTGTTTGGAATGGTTAAAATGAATTTCTGGGGACCACCAGGAACATCTTATATTAGAAACCTGACTTTTATGCTGAGTGGCCCAGATGTCAAACACATATGTTCTTGAGCTGTGAGTGCTATTGTAAGAGGTGCGGTAACTGGACTGGTAGCTGCAGGCTTACTAAGCCGTGTTACCCTCCTTCCTCTGAGGACCACAGCTAGGAAGAGCTACAGCAGTTCTCCCCTCAGCTTTTCAGTGTCTGGTACTTTATGACGTCCTCAAGAGATCTTGGCTGTCTGTAGCCTTGTAGTATCCCCTGCACTCACCTGGGCTTCCTTTGGAGCCACAGTAGAGGAAGAACAAGAATGCCTCTTTACTACTTCCTTGCTGAGTGCCAGCACCTGGCCCAGGACTTAGGAATGCCTGCATTGTTTGGTTTTATTCTTTTCTGGAGGTCGTCATTTAATTTGAGGAAACTTGTGGTCTCTGACTATATTACTTTTCTCTGGCCTTTACAGATGGCCTCCAACTGCTTCTAGAACTTCTTGCTTTTTAAATTTTGCTGCAAATTTAGCAGCTAGGTGACCCACAGCTTCTTGGGAGTCAGCCTCTTTTTTTTTTGTCTAATGGTTTAACTGATGATGATGATGATGATATAGTGGTGGTGTTGTCGTGTGAATTCAGTGTCATAATAATGTACATAAAAACCAGATGAAATACCTGGTGTGCAGTAAGTGCTCCTTATGAAGCTATTATTGTTAGATCTGTGGCTCAACCACAGTCTCTGTTTGACTCGTCATCTTGAGATTCTGGTAATCTTCCACACATCGATCTTGTCTTCCGTTCTGCTTTCATCTCTTCTCCAGGGAGCTTGGGTGGACTCACGGAGTCCCAAGGTGTATCGGCCTGCTTCTTTGATATATCTCCCCCTTCTGCAGGCAGCAGAACCCATTCTCCCCACAGTATTTTTCTACTACTTTGATGTCCCTACCCTCAGATACTCACCAGACTGTTTTCAGGTGTTTTTGTCCTCTTCTTAGTACCCGTAGACAAGCAGACTAAGATGCGTACGTTGTTGGACAAGTAGGGTTGTTTTGGTAAACTGAGATTTTTTTTTTCCTGAGAAGTCATCCGTCTCATTTGTGTCCATCCCAGTTCATTCTTCTGGGCACAAGAGGAACTTTGGGTGAGTTGGCTGCTCCATGGACAAATATTTGTCGCTCCATTTTCAGTCTTAAATAAAGGGCGTTCTGTTTTGTTCCTTGCTGATCACAATGCATCACTGAATTTACAACAAGAAGAACAACTTTCAGCCGCCTTCCTGGCTGACTGAAGTGATTGTGTGTAGCTCTGTAGTCATGGTTGCAGGCTGTAGTGATTGCATGTAGCTCTGTAGACATGGTTGCAGGCTGTAGTTATTGCGTATAGCTCTGTAGACATGGTTCCAGGCTGAAGTGATTGCATGTAGCTCATAGTCATTTGGGTCTAGCATGGGTTTTATTAGTTATTTAAAAGACTTACAGGATAGTTTGTAGGCAAGAGATCATTTTAATCTCAGTGTATTCAGGTTTGCATTGTGATTTAATTATGAGAAAAATACATGTAGCAAATAAATAGTTCAGTGTATTGGGGGTTTGGCTTGAATGCAGAGGAAAAATCAAGATTTCAGATAGTAAGAACTGGCGTAAGTAACATTTGCCCACATTTTCTTTAGAAAAATTAATATATCACTGGGTGATAACAGAGCTTTTTTTCAAATTGCAGGTTGCCTCTTCAGAGGCTGATAAGCAAGTACATTGTAGGTCAGTGTTTGTGAGAGCCCCGACCCGAGGTTCCTTCAGCTCCTGAGTCCTATTCAGCTCACCTAGAGTACAGAGGGTACAGCATCCCTCAAGCTAGCGAAGGTGGGGGAGGGGAGGCTTTTAGTAAAGAGTGCACATGAGAACAAGTAAAGACAGCAGCTCGCTCGTGGAGATTAAGGGCAGCAGCTCCCCTGGAGCCTCCCTGGCTCCGTGGGTCCAGAAAACAGCCAGTCCATCTCCAGGCTCTGCCCTTTTTGGTCTGTGTTTTCTTCTTTGGCATTCCCATACTTTGTACCCCACATTCTCTTTACTCCGCCACCCCAGCTGCTTTGCTTAGTTGTGGTTTCTGTCTCCCTGTGACCTTAGTGCATTCCTAGCATCCAACTGGCCATTTCCCCTCCACCATCTGGGGCGTCTTTTCATTTTTCTGCCCCATGTGCAGATGGGAATGCATTGCCTCAGTCATGCTTCAGAGAGGGCTTCTTGATGGGCCAGCTCCATTTTATAGAGTTCAGGTTGCTCAGTCCCTGGCTGCTTGGCTCCTAGTAGTCTGTGTATTATCCAATTAACAGAAACCCCAGGAATTCAATAAGATCCGAAAATGCAGCCATGTAGAAGGGTATTACAAACTCAAAGGCCTTTGGGACCCCCCTCTCACACTCAAAAGCTGTGTCAGGGAATAGCGGAGGCTGAGTAGAAGATACATATTAACCATGTGACAGTTGAGTGTTGCCTATGGTAAAGTCTCTTGAAAGGAAAGAACTTAGATTTTAATCATTTCATCATTCACCAAACTCATTACCCAACCTCCGAAAACCTTAGTTTCCTCTCTCTAGGGTGGTTATGAGTATTAAATGGGTTACTAGAGACCTCAAATAGTACCTGGCACACAGTAAGCATTCTATGGGTGTGTCTTAAATTTTCACTAGTGTCAGCATCCTCATTATCGTGTATTTCCACAGGGAAATGGACTTTCTCACCTTCGTCCTAAAACACGAAGCTGTTATAGTCTCTTTAGTTCCCATTCCTCCCTTTTATATTTCCACGAGCAAAACAGGAAAGTTTTCTCTATTGTGAGGATACCAACAGGACAGTGAAAATGAAAGCCAACACCGGGCCATGTCTGTTGGTGTCTGCCTTAGGGTAGACCTTGGCAAATTTGTTCACCTAGATTCTGTCCAAAGAAGAGTGTCACCTGTCTTAAACATCAGAAAGAGGCCCAAGGCTGTCAGGTCCGTCGTTCTTTCTTGACAAAGAGCTTGGATAGATTGTGCTGCTCCATCAAGCACATGTACCGGTTTGGAAACTACAGGCTGCAAGCTCTGGCCTCAGGCTGCACTTTAAAAACATGTCCCTGCAGAAGGGGCTGCAAGTGGGATTCATGTATGTGAGTTGAAGTTGCACTTTGGACTAAGGTGAAGACCATGAGCCCTGGGAAGCAGCATGGCACAGGCCCCTAGATCTCCTACGCATGTTTCTAAAGGAAAGTTTGTCCTTGATTTATTTTACTTCTTTCTTTTCTTAGAAAGAACAAGTGAAAATAGCATGATTTCTTTTTTGGTTCAGATCTGCAGGGCTACACTGTTTTATTTGACTGTTATGTCAAAAGCCGTATCTCCTCAAACTGGGATCCTGCTTGGTTCAACTGAATGTAGCCCTAACAAAAGCCTTCATGTGTTACCCCAAACCTCTTGGGGCTTCCTCAGTGATGCCCAATTGCTCATGCTGGAGCAGCAGTAGTGTGTCCCATTGTTCTCTCCCCCAGTCTCCCTTCCTGAGACATACCTACATGCATGCATGTATATACGTGTGTGACACACGTTCACACACACACACGTTGCCCTATTTCCACAAAGTGACTAGAGTTGAGTTTTAAAAATATGAACTCTTGCCAGTTGTAGTGGCCTTTATTCTAAGCAGAGGCAGGCAGATCTCCGTCAGTTCCAGGCCAGCCTGTTCTACATAGTGAGTTCCAACTCAGCCAGAGCTACATAGTGAAACCCTGTCTCCAAAAAAGACAAATAAATAAATAAACATAAAAAAGAAAGGCAAGAAAAAGAAAGAATTACAATAGTATATCACTCTGATGCTTCAAACTTGCTGCTTGTTTCTCATCTCACGGACAAGTGAGGCTGAGTCTCCTGCGCCATCTGGTATTACTCTCCCCTCATTTACTACTCTGAATGGACCCAGCCCACATTCTCCATCACTGTAGAGCACACAGGGCTCAGTCTCCTTTGTTTTCAGCGCCCCTTCCGTTCCCCACTTAGAAACTCATTTTCTCCAGGTATCAGGTCCCAGAAAGGCCTCTCCCTTCATAAAACGATTTCCTAATTTGGCGCTGCTCATCACCGAGCCATAGTTGTCCCATGACTGAATGACTGCACTGTGGGCCTTTAGCGGGGCAGGAGAACGGTGTTGGGGGGAGGCACAGGGGCAGGAGCGAACTCCCCGAGATAATGAGGCTTCCTGTGTTACTGACACTGTTGACTTACCCAACGTGCAAATGCTCCAGAATGTGGAAGGGAATTTACTCGGGGCTGAGGTGGCTATTAGAAGTCGTTCTTAAATTCCATCACAAGTGTTCTCATTAAAGGTAATAGCAGAAAATTGCCGCAAAGATTGCCCCAGTTTTCAAGTGGTGATCCCCTCTGCAGAGCTGTTGATTTGTGTAGTTAATGCTAATTTATTTAATACACTTCTGCTTCTTGTTGATTTTTAGGTTTGCTGCCACAGTTACTGGGAGTTGCCCCAGAGAAGGCCATAAAACTTACAGTAAGTCTTTGAATTGGGACTTCTTATTAAGAGACACAAACTCAACAGTCCACCAGGTCTTCTTCTGTGATTCAGCAGGTCTGTGGTCCTTCACCCATGCTAATGAATTTGATGCTTAGAGCAGTCAGCACACATAACTTCTCCTTGTTCTCTGGAATGTTAAACGTCCAGAAATGTGGTACTGAGCTTGGGGATGATTGTAGCTGCTGCTGTCGTGGTCGTCATCATCCTCGCAGCAGCTCTGCAGTTTTCACAGTACCTGACGTATTAGGCCCTTGACACATACCATCTTACCCTTTCAGTTTACAGTGTGCTTTACAGGATACGGCGAGGAAGGCCAGTAGGGTTCAAACCACCTACCTGTGCTCGGAGAACCAGGATGTTGAGTCAGGATCTCAAAGTTCTGAGTATGTCCACCTATGCCCAATGCTTAGGGAATACATGTGTAGGGTGTGTTCTTGAACCTCATTTTTCTAGTTAAGTTTATTCCAGCTCACCTGCAGATGGTTGGTTCTCACTTTCAGTGTCTAGAGTGGGTAGATACTACATATACATCCCGAAGACCTCAGAGCCCTGGAATTAAGCTTTGGCCTTAGACCGGGCCGTATAGCCTTGGTCCCTGTAATACTTTTTTTTTTTTTTTTTTTTTGCTTTTGTTTTTGTTTTTCGAGACAGGGTTTCTCTGTGGTTTTGGAGCCTGTCCTGGAACTAGCTCTTGTAGACCAGGCTGGTCTCGAACTCACAGAGATCCGCCTGCCTCTGCCTCCCAAGTGCTGGGATTAAAGGCGTGCGCCACCACCGCCCGGCCCCTGTAATACTTCTTGTGTCATTTGATAACATAGCTAGACTCTGGCCCATATCTGCTCAGACTGTACAATTGTTGTTGCTTAAACTTGCTTATAGCACCTATCCAAAATTATACTCACTTTTAATGTGTGAAAGTATGACAAGCGTGTGCAGGTGACCTTGGAAGGCAGGAGCAGGCACTGATTGGCTCACCCCAGAGCTGGAATTGCAGGAGGTTAGAAGCCACTTTACAATGCGGGGGATTGAACTTGGATCCTCAAAAAGAGCATAAGACACTGCAAACTGCTGAACCATCTCTCTAGTCCCCTGAGGAATTTTTACTGAACAGCTACTAACTTGATAAAAAGAAGACTAAGGAGCTTACATTGGTTTCAGTGAGGAGTGGTATTTTAAATAATATTAAGTCTTGTTAAAAGACTTAATATGACCTTTAATTATAACTTGTCTTGTAAGTTTTAAAATATAAAATATACAATTTATGTGTACTATCAATACATCTCCCTTTTCATGCTACTATAACTGCAGGACATTTTAAATTTTTTGGCTCGTTAGGCCATTTTTCTTTGAATTTTTCTATCTGTAATATATATGTGTACACAGACCCCCACCTGATATTACAGATACACACACACACACACATACACATATATATCTGTAAATTGTTTCTATGACCTGTATGCTCTTAAGAGTCTCTTAAACTATTTTAAGATCTGCTAATTCTTGCAATCAAGTGAGGAAAGAAATAACGTATATTGAGTGGTGTATATTTATATGTTTAATGACTTTATATTTTCACCAGCTTCTATACCTGTTTCTCTCCCAGGTGAATGATTTTGTGAGAGATAAGTTCATGAACAAAGATGGCTCGGTCCCACTTTCGGCGGAGATTTTGGCTGGAGGCTGTGTAAGTAGCTTTTCTAGATTTCTACACTGGAAAGCTGTTCCTCATATCTGTGTCACTGCCGTGAACAGCACGTGTGTACTAAGGCTTCTCTTTGACCACAGATCCTGTCCAAGGCCAGAGTTTCCTGGGCAGGCTGCGCTTCCTGAGGTGAAGGGTAAACTGCCGATCTTTCTGCCTGTTCTCATAATACATTTCTTACTGCTTTGAGTCAGTTCTACTGTCAACTCCTTTGCCTCGGGAGTGTTTGGAAGGTCTCTGCTAGCCCTTCCTGACGTTCCCTCCTAGCGTCCTGTCTGCTGTGGCATCTCTGCTAGGACAAGCACTAAAGCTGGTGGCTTGCAGTCAGCTGCTCCAGATCCCTGCTTTGCTTTGTCTCGTTAATGGCCGCAAAGCTTCCAGTGCTTCTGGGAGAGTCTGGGATGCAGATGGCTGAGGTGTTCTGCCTTGTCAGAAATGTGTGGACTGATTGTTTTGGGTTATGGGTGAGCAACCGCAGCTTGTTCTAAAGCTCCGCAGAACATTGTCTCGCTGTGTCTCATGGACCAGTTTGTCCATGCTAATGCAAATACTTCAAGTAAATTAACTCTTGCACAAAGGCTGGAGCCATTTAAAGATAAGGTTCACTAAATAAACACACTTTGATCACCCAGGCTATCCAATATTGGTATATTTCCCCTCTAACCTCATGCAACTTTCCATATAAGAAAAGATGAGGTCACATTTTTCTTTTCTTTTTAAATTGGCCTGTTTGGCCAGGAAATAGACACACTTTTTTTTCTCTCCTTGAAAAACCATTGAGTTTAGAAGTGGACCCTTTTGTGGGACCGGCTCACCTGCTCACTGTCCTAGCTCAGGCTGTGTGTAGACACCTGAGGATGTGGACCCCTGTATGGGACCGGCTCACTGTCCCAGCTCAGGCTGGATGTAGCTGCTGCCAGGAGTCCATCCATGCTCCTGGTAACTTTTAAGAGAAGTTGGAATTTGGCTGCTGCCTGACTTTTTGTTTGATCACTGACCTGTCCGAAGTGGGCAGGTAGGGTCCCTCATTCTGTATCTTTAGGAGTAGTTAGGATGGAAAAGAGGAACCATTAATGTCCTCAATGCAGAGGACTCACGCTACCGATAAAAGACTTGAGTTCAGAAGCGCTCCTTGTAAGTGCTCCTCATCCAAACCTGCCTGCCTGTGCCCTTTGAGCAGCGAAACTCTCTCATGTTTAATTAGTGTGTGTGCGTGCGCTTGTGTGTGTGCATGTGAGTGCATGCTGTGTGTGTGTGTGTGTGTGTGTGCATGTGAGTGCATGCTTGTGTGTGTGTGTGTGTGTGTGTCTGTCAAAGTATATCAAGTGTGTGCTGCCCCAACGAGAGAGTTGGGTCTTCTGGGGCTGGAGTTTTCAAACAGTTATGAGCTGCCTGAGGTGCTTGCCGGGAACTGAACTGGGCCCTCTGGAAAAGCAGTGTGTACTCTTACGTGCCGAGCCATCTCTCCAGTTTGTTTTCTAACATTTAAATGCGTGCTTCCACAGGCTGGATCTAGCTCATTACTTCAGGATATCGCTGTGAGTCTAAGGTACTGAATGCGGGTATGTGTGTGATGTCTCTATAGGCTGAGTTTAGCCCAGTCCTTCAGCCTGTTGGAAAGAGCCTTGAGACAGCATGGTATCTTGATCACGTAAAGGTGGAGGTTTCATTTTGTATTTTTTAAGTTCCATTTTTAAACACCATAGACACCATGATATTAGAACCGTATAAGAATTTAAAATGTAAAATTCATTTTAAGACTCTAGTCAGGCAACCATCATGGCTTGGAGCCTGGATATGTTTTTTCCCCTAATGTAAGCATTTTACCTGCACGTGCATTGGGGTGCCCAGGAGATCGACTGTGGCATGCACTGTCAAGGTGCCCTCTGTAGGTGGTCTTGTTTTCAAGTATGGTGGCCCGTTTCAAATGCAGAGCACACGCAGGCTGGCATCAGAAGTGGTGCCTAGCTATTGTAAAGAGACACAGCCCCCTTTCAAGCCTGATCTAAACACAGGCTTAAAACTGGAGCCACTTGAGCTTTACAGCGACTTAAAATATCTGTGAAATGAGTTGGCCACCCTTCCCGTCAAAGGCGGTCCTCTGAAATCCAAGTCTCTGTTCTGCGCCCCTCCCGCGCTAGCCACTGCTTTAGGAAGAATTTAAATTCAGGTAGACAGTTACGTAGCTAGCAAAGAACTCAGGAGAGAGAAAAATGGAGGGATCTCGCCTGCTTGCGGGCGTGGGTGCGTGCGTGCGTGCATGTGAAGTCGGCAGCACCTCTCGAAGGCCACTTTTTCCTTCCAGCACCTGTGTGTACTGGAGAAAGACTTGTGTTCTCCGGCCTGCTCTGTGTAATTGAGAATACAAAGGGTTCTGTGACCTCGTGTCACGTGAGCAGTTGCTTGCTTTAGTTCAGCCAAGCATGGGAGCTCACCTTGCTTCCTTATTGCTGAGCATCAGCACACATGGCTGACTTTTCACTCGCGTCAACCAAAGCTGTTCATTTCTTTGAACAAAGCCCTCTCTGTTTTACAGTGTTTTTGACAACAACAGGGAAAATATGCAGGGACCATTGGATCGTAACCTACATCACCACAGTGCTTGCCCAATCTCGTTTATTTATTCATTTTAGAAGAAAGTGGTAGCGGGTATGGAATGGGTCAGTCATTGGCTCTTCAAAGGAGTAAAACGTATCTTATTTCTTGCTATTTTCATAAAATAGTATTTTTAAATGAAGAAACTAAAAACATCTTTCTTTTGCTGACATACATAAAAGGATGAAGCTGACTTTAAAAAAAAAAAAAAAAAAACTCTTACTGAGATTAGTTTTAGTTTAAAATCCTGGCTAAAATTTTTATTTTTTCAAGCTTTTCTGAGAGTTTTCTTCTCTCTTCCTTCCTTTCATAGATTCCACACTGACTGGTGGAATATTGTCACCAGAATTCAGACTCAACTAGATGCTAAGACTGGAGTTTTTTAAACAACTAATTCTGAAAGAAATCTTTGTGGTGGTGTTTTTCTTTGAGTGGATTTTCTGCTTTTTAAATTTATTCCTTGATGATGTAAGATTCTGAAAGAAGCTTGGGCCTCAGGCTCCCCTCACGCAAAGATTATGTGCCTTCTCTTTCCATCCTTCCCTTTCTATAAAACGACGTGGCTGAGAACCTGGTAGTGACAGGTTATCAGAAATGTGGCCAAGGAGAGGACCTGGGACCACAGCGCAAGTAGGTTTCCAGTGACTCAAGCAAGAGAGCCATTACAACAAACCCACGCTGGTAGGGTTAAAATTGTGGTGAGGGGTATGGCAGTCTGGGGTCTTCAGTTTTGATCTTTTATCTTATGAAATGCCTACCAGGCAAGGAAAGACAAATGGTGCTGTGATTGTCTTTAAGAAGCAGAGAAATTATCTGACATGAAATCTAATATTCCCCAGAAAAACTGTATCAACAGAGCTGTACTTAGTAAAAAGTTAGTTCTATATCAGTAGAAAATAAAATTCGGTAGTAGCTTTTAGAAAGGCTATGGCTCTGTGATAATACAGTCCCAGCGTTTTCCTGTTGTGCTGTGCTCATGTGCATGCAGACGTGGATAAATCTGATGTGCCTGAGTTTGTACGCATTCATGGGAAAAGTCACTGATAAGATCATACTGCTCGTTCTGGAAAGGACTAGTGAATCTAGTATTAGGGGCTGGCGAGGTGGCTTGGTGAGTTAAGCACTTGCCACACAAGCGTGCGGACCTGATCCCTGATCCCCAACACCATATAAAAGCCAAGTGGGAGTGGCGGTGTGCCTGTGATCTCAGCTTATTGGTGCAGAGATGGGAATTCCCCAAACAAGCAGGCTAGCCAGACTAGCCAAAATTAGAGACTCTGGCTCCATCTAAAGCGCAGCAAGACTGGGGAGGACACTAGACTTTGATGTTAGGCTTCCATATACATGTGCGTGTATGTATTTGTACTCTTGTACCCGCACACGCATGTGTCCACACATGTCCACACATGTGCCCACACATACATCTGCAGACATCAACAAACACAGTATAGCACAATTGGAAAGGTATGAAATGTACGTAATTATTCTCTCTAGCAAATGGGCAGGACCATATGCTATTATCTGCTTTTATTCTTACTTTCTTTTTTATTTATGGTTCTAGAGAGTAAGTGAACCCAGGGCCTTGGTCTTGCTATGCAAACAGTCTACCTCTGAACTGTGTCTCCCAATCTCTTTTATTATTTTTTTCCAGCTTTAATTTCAAGATGAGCTCATTAAATTAAGTGGGCTGACTTTGAACTTGGCAGTCCTCCTGCTTGAACTTCTGCGCAGCTTGTATTATAGGCCTGTGCCATTAGGCCCAGCTTCTGTATTCTCATATGTATAAGATTCTTATATCTGTGCATTAATTGTTTTGGCTGTTGTTTGTTTGAGACAGGGTCTTGCTGTGTAACCAAACTGGACTGAAATTCAAGGTCTCCTTGAATCAGACTTCTCAATGCTGGGATTACAGATGCATGTCACCATGCTGGCCACATACTCACTTGTGTGTGTGTGTGTGTGTGTGTGTGTGTGTGTGTGTGTGTATCCTCTGATCATGGAGATCAGAGGACAAAATGCAAGAGTTAACTCTTTTTCTTTCCACGATGTGGCTTCCAGTGACTAAACGTAGGCCACCAAGCTTGTCTGCTAGTTAGGTAGTGCCTTAACCCCTTACCCATTTCAATCATCCCCTAGAAACTATTGAAATTTTCTGTTGTGATTTTAGTTTATGGGTATGAGTATTTTGTCTGCCTTTATGTCTGTGCACTGTGTGCCTGTTTCTTGAGGCAGCCAGAAGAAAGTGTCGCAGCCCCCTAGAGTAGTAAACCACCATGTTGGAATCAAGCTTGGGTTCCTGGGTATGGTAACTGGTGTTCTTAACTGCTGAGCTATCTCTCTGGGTCCCAGAACCCCAAGTACTATGTTTAAGGCCAACTTTTGTTATT